TCGACAGGATCGCCTTTTTGTGATCGCTCACCGCCCCGGTTCTGCCAGGTTCCATCGCTTTTCATTTTAGAAATAAAATGAAACAGAAAAAGTCGGCTTTGAAACTGGATGAAAAAGATGGACAGCTTTGATCTTGAATGTATTTGGCGCCGCTTCCGCGCTTACAGAATTGATGTGCTTCATTCAGATGACAATCAAAATTCCCTTCCGCATTCAGTTTCTCTGAGAGGCGGGAGTAGCCCAAGCCAACAGCAACCACACGCTGGCAAGACTTTCTAAGATTTCTTCCCTTTTTGGGATTGTTTGCAGGCAAGCTGATGGCAGGTTTAGCTCCTGACATATGTCAGTACCAATTTATTATTGTTACGTTCATTTATCGGCTAAAAATCAGATCGATAGGCACTTTGTAAACTTCTGATGATGCTTTTCCAGGATAACGGTACGATCGAACACACCGAATATTGATTATGGCAGCGCACCCGTAGTGGTACTCATTTGACTTATTTTTCTTCCTACAATTCGATTTTTTTTTTGGCTTTCGCATTCCCAGCAACCTTCCATGCAGAACTTGGGAAATGTTTAGGTTGCGGAAGACGCTGTGTCGGTGCGAAGATTGGTTGTGGAAGGAGTGGTTGACATTGACCTGGATATTGAGCGAGTACCGCAGAGACCTCGCGAATACATTGTCTCGACATTCGTGCAAAATACTTTAACTCACAAATATCAGGTAATAACACAAAAACAGTTCAGCGATCTGGATGCCGTTCAGAGCTTTGAGTATTAAACCAGACTGAAGACTGTTGTAGTTCTCAAAATAACAGACACATACGGCATCCGTTAAAGTAGAGGACTGGTTGGGAAGAGCGAAGAAGATGAGGGAAAAATTAACGAAGAAATGAGTCTCAAAGATGTTAGTTTTGTGCAGTAACAGATCAGTAATTTATATATAAAATGTGCACTGATCGTCTCACAAATGCTGTGATAATTATGCTGTTTTTTTTAGTCTGGTTCTTCAGCTGTGCTGCTAGCAACTTTTCCAAATGCTTACCAATGCTGCTTCGCCTGCTGGTAGTCCTTAAAATCATTTGTTCTCCTGAGAAGCTTAACGGTTAATAGTTTTCCAGCTTAACGGTTTCCTTGACAAAAGCATTTGGTAAGGCATTAGCCCTCTCGAGATTTCTTCGTGTTTTCGAAGTATCGCCGTCTCATTTTGAACAGTGCCACTCCTAAACCACGATGAGGCACCTTAGCGATCAGGAGTCACTGACAGAAATCAGTAGATGAATTTGTGCGCCAGTTGTCAAATGGCTGCTGTAATGATTTATTTTAAAAATCAGTACTCGCCAGTTAAAAATTTGCTGGAATTGGTAAAAACTGAGGCTTTTGAGAATGCATGTAATGTATCAGCAGCTACAGCAAACAGTGGTTAGAATAGCCATTTTAATCAGTATTATTCTGTATTAATTTGGCTGAAGAGACAAATTCACGAATAACAAAGTCGCCCGGAAATTGGTGTGGGTACTCCATTTTGATGATTTTACTAGGATGCTTTTGAACGCTGGCGCAGCAGTACCAGGCCTTTGATCCTGAGCTGAACACCTCCAGTCAGTACTCAAGGTCAAACCGTCATACCTAAAACCTGGACGGTACGAGGATTATCGGTCCTCAGCGGCCACAGTATCAGCTCTGAAATATCCAGGAGTGCAAAAAAGTAATCGAGAAATTTCAGCACGCAAAGCTCGCTTGCCGGGTATATTTCTCGGATGAGCAAGTGCTTGATT